TGATCTTCAGAGCCATCAATGCGTCCACCCTCAATGGCTGCAGTTTGTTCGTCACAAACCTGGCCACAAACATCTCAGCCAGGCCTTCCCAAGTCTTTACGCTTCCCTTCGGTAGTTTATGGAACCAATCTGATGCAATTTCCCCAAAGGACGAGGGGAACACTTTGCAGAGCAATGGCTCGTTCCCACTATATAATGCCATTGAATTCAGGTATGGCTCGACGTGGAAGTTAGGATCTGGCTTACCATCATATATTTGGAACCTCGGCATACTGAATCACTTTGGTGCTTGAAATTTGTCCAGTTCCACCGAAAATGGTGTCCTCGGCTTAACCGGGGAAGTTACCTCGGCTTCAGCATTCTGTTGCTTCCTCTTGAGGTAATCTCTCAAGTCTTCTTTACTCCTTCCTGGAGCTTAGCTATCTCTAGACTTTAATCTCTTCGGCACACTACTTTCGGCCTCGTGGTGAGCTCGTTTGATCTCTCTCCATGTGTTGTGCCAAAGCAAAGCACCTGCCCTTGAACATGCCAATGTTCTTTGGGTTCTGGGTCCTTCGTGTGATACGTTCTTTGGGACTCCTCTCGTCTCGGCTCCTCTCGTCTGCCTTCCCTGGAAGGTCGGTAAGAGTGTCTTCTGCTCCTGTTGTGCTGAGGGACTTCGGGGATTGTTCTTCTTCCACCCTTCTGGGTGTTAGTTGTTGGTATCGGCGTATCCTGCAGCGGGTATGGTGGCTGCATGAAATTGTTTTGCATCATGAAGTTAACCACTGACTGTAGGTCTGCCAACTTATTTGCCAAGTCTTTTACTTCCTCATCCCTCCGTAGGCACCTATCCCTCCATACCTGAAGGTTATCTTCGTTATAATACTTACTTTGGTCTGTCCTCTTTGAAACGTCGCCCTCCTGGCCGACGTCTTTCTCTCCGTGGCTCTGGTCATGAGTTTCTGTATTGTGGTTGTCTCCTTCAACGTCAAGGTCAATTGGTCTGCCGCTCCCAGTAGGAGTGTCACCCCCAATGTTTTCCCTCTGTCCGTTACTGGTCATCTATTCTTCTATCTTCCCACAGACGGCGCCGAATTGTGTGAATGATTTTCTGACCACACTGCCCGCCTAGTAATCAGCTGGAGAGCACCGGCAGAATAGATGGCTTCAGCAACCTGTAACAGAAAGAAAAGGCTCCGGCGGTGGCTCTTCCACTCAGGGGCACTCCGACGATCAATTCAGTATATCTCTCAAAGATAATCAATTGTTAAACTCACTACTCAAAGCATAAAACTGCGTACCTTAGACTCACGGTGTGCCTCTTTTTTATAGTTTACTCAATCCTAGTCCCACTAGAAGCTTGACTTCTATGGACTCCAATTCTGTACTTACTTTGGATTTCTCAAGAGATAAAAATAAACTCCCTAAGAGTTTTATCCTTATCTTAGCAAAGTCTTCTCTTTACTCTAGGACTTTTGCCCCTTTATCTATTATCCGCTTATCTCGAATTCTGATATCTTCGGAGATAACCTCGGCCTCGCCGAGATAACCTCGGCCTCGCCGAGATAACCTCGGTGTCACAACCAGGACACGTGGCACTTCGGCTGACACGTCGGCGTCACCTTGCCACGTGTTGGTATTCAGAAAATACATCCCCACAACCATTATTTAAACGGAAAGTTTATTTCTAATTAAGCAATCTCAGTCTTTCAATCTTTAATCAGATCAATCTTTAGTTTATTTCAAATCAAATAAATCTAATCAATATGTTTTGATAAAACCGCTAAAATGGCGGTTAAACCAACAAATCAATCGAGTCAAAAATAATTTAGCCTAATCAGCTAGGTCATAATTAATTAATTAAAAATTTAAAAATTTAAACTATATTGAATTGAAACATTCATAACACTACAATATTAAATGGGATGTGAGTATAAGATCCACTTTATATGAGTAAAATAACTAATTTTTTTTCTTCTTTTTTTGATGTGAGATTATCAAATAAAAGTTAGCCAATGAAGATTTTCTTATTTGTTTAAAATCAAGAAAATTAGTACGAGATATTGAAACTCTCACAAGCTTCCTCACTAAATGAATGAGAGTATAAGATTGCCTTTATATGAGTAAAATAACTCATTTTTTTCTTCTTTTCTCGATATGAGATTATCAAATAAAAACTAATCAATGGAGATTTTCTTAATTATTTAAAATTAAGAAAAACAAAAAAATTAGTATGAGATATTAAAACTCTCAAAAGACTCCTCACTAAAAATACTATTTTCCTTATATAATATATAGATAGATAAATTTTGATAGAGTTATTACGATTTGTGATTTAAAAATTAAGTTACGTATTTTTCGATTATGTTACTTATTTTTTTGTAATAATATTACTTCCTTAAGAATATTTAAATAAAAAAGTATATAATATTAACATTAGGACAATGCGTAATGCATTTATAAACTACTAATTATCATAATTCTATAATAAAAAAAAAATTGTATAATATTTACCATAAAAAAAAATGCACTTATTTCATCTTTTTATCTTTTTTGGGTCACATCAATCAACATCTCCTCTCTACTTTTTCTACACATAATACAAAAAAAAGTCAAAAAGTGTACTTATTTAATCTTTCCAAACTAGGCCTTAATATAAACTACAAAATAATACATTAAGAAATTCATACACCATAGAATTTTATTGATTCAAGTCTCGTTTGATAATTGTTAATTTTAATTAAAAAATCAAAAAGTTACTATAAATTATCACTTTACTCCTTTTACTTTTTTTATATATTTTTTATAAAAATTAAAAAATTATTTGAACAACATATTATTAAACGAGACCTTAATACAACAATATCACAAATTGGGCTTTTGAGGGTGAGGGTCAACTGTGGATAAATATTGACGAAATCTACAGAAATCACACCGAATAAAAATACGTGATGTCAGCATTTCATTTGTTGAACATATCCACAAATCAAATATATCCTCAAGTCAATAATTTAAAAAGTGAACCACGATGTGTCATGCATGCGGTGCACTTGAAATTTATGACCTCATTTTTTTTTTCTTTTTTCCTCCTAGAAAGTATACCGTCTATTTAAAAATAAAATTAAACAATATATATACATTTTTTTTAATTGTAAACTGTTTAACAATTCAAAATAAAACAGTAAATTACATTTATCGTGTTTGAAGTTTGAAAAAATTATAAGTGATACTACCGTTTTGATATAATTACACGAATCTCTATTTTAGAAATTATAAATAGATTGAAATAATATGAATACGCAAAAATAAACAAATATATATATATATATATATATTTCAATGTAAAATAAATAACATTATCATTTTTTCATCCATAACAAACTAAATACGAAAAGGGAATAAGTATTATGTGAATTAAAATTTTAAGAAAACCTAATGTAATTACGTTAAAATTGTGGAACATGCTATATTTTTTCAAACCTTAAGGGTGGTTTGTGTAATTTACCCAAAATATAATATAAAAAAAACAAGAATCTTTTCAGTAATTTTAAAATGCTTTTCATTGAATTTAAATTTTTTCTGCATTTATATTTTTACGTGTTACCATTTTTTTGCCTAATTGTACTACCAAATAGTTTTCTAAGATTTTAAAATAATTTTGTGAATATTAATACTCACAAAAACATATTTATACAAAATTAAATTACAAAAAAGTCACGGGGAGCGGGGCTTATTGTGTAAACCCACACACTATAAGATCCGCACCATTGTAAGTGTTTTGTGATCCATTTTACAAGTACCGAAAAACGAGTAGGCCTGGATTTGTAACAAGTTCTGTTGCAGTTTTGTGAGAGCAAACCAGCTAAACAAATCTTCACATGCTTTGAATGGTAATATGAACATAAAGCTTGTTGGCTAATAAATTATTAGCATTTGTTGAAGTAAGAAGCGGTTGATTCTAGATAAGTCAAATTTTAGACCCACATTAAAATGTTGGGGAATTGTGAATTAGTTGTATGCGGTGGCGGAGCTACAGGAGGTCAAGTAGTCACATGTATTCTGGATTTTGGAAAAAAAAAAAAATTTAACATAAAAAAATATTTTAAATAAAAAATTTTATAAAAATATTATTTAAAGTGAAATGTCAATGACATTTTTAAAATTACGAGAACAATAATGATTTTTTTGATTGAAAATAAAGAGATTATGATAAGTCATATTATTATTTATGAAAATTTTAATATAATGGTGATATCTATCATTATTGACATACAAACATAATTAATTTAATGATGATATGAAATTTATTGGATTGTTAGTTACATTTCACATGTGGAGTTTATCCTCCATGTGTTTCTTTTCATTCCTAACTAAAATGATCACTTTATAAATTATAATCAAGTAACACATCTTCAATTAAAAAAAAATTAAAATAAGTCATAACTAATATCAAAATGAGTCATAACTAACTATAACTTAATATATAGTGATAATCAAAATAACAACCACAAGAAGTTATAACTAAATTATATCTAACACTATAATGTATTATAACTAAAGACCACGAAAATTATAATTGCGACATATGATAGATACTTTTTTTACGGTATGTTTTATAAAATTTCTCTACTAAAATATATCATTTCTATCTCAACTTATCTTCTTTTTTTTTTTTTAATTTTTCAATACACCTATAAAATAGTTACTTTCCAATATTTGTATAAAATTTAATCTCAAATCCTTTAATTTAAAATTCACATTTATCCAAATGAACTCTTAATATTTAAGTATAGTAATATCTCATTATTATTTATTATGAAAAAAAAAATTAATATTGTCATTAATTTGTGCTCCTTCTTCACTAAATTCCTAACTACGCCAAGATGTACCATCAATTTGAAATTTATTTTGAAAATATGCACTTAATTGTAATTTCACCTAAAATGTTTGGAACACAAGATAAGTATAAAAATGAGTCTTCTGATATCTTTTGGTTTTTGTTTTCAAACTCTATTTCGCACTGCCTATTTATGTCCTACATTTTTAAAACGAAAACAAAAACAGAAACAAAAAACCAAAACAATGTTGCCAGAAGACTGTGTATCCACAATTCTCTCCAACACCTCACCTCTGGATGCATGTTGGTCTTCGTTGGTATCGTCTTGGTTTTGTTCTGCAGCAAATTCTGACACTGTTTGGAAGAGGTTCTTGCCCTCTGATTATGAAGGCATTGTTTCAAGATCAGTAACTCCTTTGAAATTCTCTTCAAAGAAAGAGCTATTTGTTTGTCTTTGTGATCCCATTCTCATAGATGGTGGAAATAAGGTAGGCTTCATTTCCTTTTAGGCTTCTCATCACTTTTGATATGAGGCTTACAACTATGATGCTTACATCATTCACATGTATTCATGTGTGTTAACTTGATATGTATTGTTCAACTTATTTTTTAACAATAGATTTGTGGTTCACAATGGGTAGTAAAGGTTTGTTTTCATTTCTGTGTTTGCTACCATACAAATTGCTTGCTACCATGCAGAGCTTTGCATTGGAAAAATCAACTGGACTAAAATCATACATACTCTCTGCAAGAGAACTTTCCATTACATGGGGCAATCAACCAATGTATTGGAGCTGGAAGTTCATGTCTGGATCAAGGTTGGTAGTATTGGTATTCGCTTTCCATCTTACTTTCTAATCAATTGTGTATCAGTAGAAAAATAGGAAATGATATGGGATGTATGAAGTGATAGGTGTCAAGAATCAAGTCTCACAGTTGTGAATTTTTTTAAATTGTCAGTCAGTAAAAGTGTTTTAAAGAGGTTAAGCTGGTTGTATCAATTGTAAATCGATTATATACTGATGCATATCAATAATCTACTGATACACATGTGATTTTCATTGCAATCCATACACTTTTGTATTGGTATCAAAAGGGCAAAAACTAGATATAAGTCAATATTTAAAACCATAATTGCATATGATTGATTAAAAAATAAAAAATAAAAATCTTTAGAGCTATATATTTCTCTAAAAAAATCATATTTTCTACCAATCTTGTCCACAGGTTTTCAGAGGTGGCTGAGCTCAGGACAATTTGGTGGTTAGAAATACATGGGAAAATTAGAACACAGACACTATCAGCGAACACAACATATGGAGCTTATCTCATCATGAAAATCTCTCACCGTGCTTATGGGCTTGATTCAATGCCATCAGAGGTATCGATTAGCATAGGAGATCGTGTATATACCAACACCGCCTATCTAAGCTGTCGGGAGCAGATGGAAGGCCTCTGTTACTCTAATCGCACGCAAATGTTGAGATGCAGGGCGGCGGAAGGGGAAGGGCGAGTCCCATGTGAGAGAAAGGATGGGTGGATGGAGATTGAGCTTGGAGAGTTCTTCAGTGGTGAAAAGGATGAAGAAGTGAAGATGAGTTTGATGGAGGTTAAAGGGTATCAATTGAAAGCAGGGCTTATCATTGAAGGCATTGAAGTCAGGCCCAAGTAATTAATCAAACATGTGTTTTTCATCTTTAGGGATGAATATGTTTTTATAGCAATGTTAGGTATTATGAAAAATCTTTCATGAAAATGATCATGAAAGACTTGTGACCATTGGATTACACTTATAATAAAGCACCACACACTAATCAAGGTAATTTAAGGGTCACAAATTTTTCAAGATCATGAAATTTTTTTCATGAAAATGATCATGAAAGGCTTGTGACCATTGGATTACACTTATTATGAAAAGTCTTTCATGAAAATGATCATGAAAGGCTTGTGACCATTGGATTACACTTACAATAAAGCACCACACACTAATCAAGGTAATTTAAGGGTCACAAATTTTTCAAGATCATGAAATTTTTTTCATGAAAATGATCATGAAAGGCTTGTGACTATTGGATTACACTTACAATAAAGCACCACACACTAATCAAGGTAATTTAAGGGTCACAAATTTTTCATGATCATTTTCATGAAAAAATTTTCATGATCCCTAACATTTCTCATATTTTTAGGCCTTGTTAATTGTCAAAAGAAACTAGAAATTGAGAAAAATTGGAAAAAAAAAAAAATTAAAAAAATGAATGTGATGCTTTGAAATTAAAGAAGGTTATTGTTTCTTTATGTGGCTTTTAAATTTTAGGATGCCTGATTTGTTTTTCTAGTGGTTCGATTCAATCATATATTACTTGCACAGCTAAGTAGAGATTGGACAAGAACAAAATGGGCAACATTGATTGATTCTTTCATTGATCTTCTATTTTTGTTTTTAAATCTTTTTGGAATATTGAGCTTGGTACAAACCTCATAGGTTGGTTCTTCTATTTTTGTTTTTAATCTTTTAGGATATAGAACTTGACTTGCAACAAACGAAAGTTATTGGCTGTTATCGGACTAATTTTAACTATAAGAGAAAAATCACATTAGTGGGTATTTGAAAAAGTAATTATAAATCACTGAGAAATTTTATAAATATTAAAATTAAATTTATAGATTTTTTCATGAATTTGTTTTTTGTTTTTTGTTTTTTTTCACTTGGATGTAATTACCTCAAAATTATAAATAGGTTTATTAGAGACCACAAAAAAAAAAAAAAAAAAAAGAGTCAAAAATAAAAAAAAATTGAACTTCTCTTTTTTTCTTTTTTTTTTTTTTTTTTTTTATCGTTAATGAACTTATTTTGAATTTTTTCAAGTGTTTGTTTACTTTTAAGATCATTCCAACAAGGATGCACTTAGAGGAGAACAAGAGGGGTCTCCTCCACCTCATGATATCAAAAACACCCATTATTATAATAGTATTATTAGTTGGTGATCCGTGTAATGCATAAGAATTTATTTTTAAGATAGAAAATTGATTTTGAGTCTTGATACTGCATGTGTAAAATATTGTAACAATTAAAAGTAAAAAATACGAATAGATTTGTCAATGGTTGACGAAAATTTTAATTATTGTGTGTGATTCTAGGTAAAAACCTCATAAATAAAATTTATTTCAAAGTAATTAAAAAAAAACGTGTATTCTCAATCTGAAATTAGATCTTCATTTTTGTTAATTAAATTTACCAAAAATCATGACTTCTCCTTGTATCAAAATATTTTTTTCTGAAAAAAATAAAAACAACGAAAATTTTTATAATATACAAATTATGATTTGGTTATAACTCATGGTGTATTATATTATGATGTGTTATAAAATAATAATATTAATTTCAATTTAAAATAAAAATAAAAATAAAAATATTTATTTTAATAATCTTAACTTTATCGTTCTATAAAAATGTTACTTGAATATATATAAATATAATAAATTTAGTTAAATTATTTGTTTATTTTGAAAATTTTAGTTCTATTGTGCTATGAAAGTGTAATTATCATATAATGATTTTATATGATATATATTAAATTATAAGATAGTAAAATAAATACTCATTTTGATTAGGGAAAATTAGTGTATAACATCTATCTCCAACTTTGGATAGTGGGAGAAGTCCATAATATTTTTTTTTTTAGCCTAAGGTCCCTCACCGTTTATGTCCTACACCCATACGTCTCTCTCTCTCTCTCTCTCTCTCTCAATTCATGCAGACCATCCTTTCTCTCTTTTTATCCCCTTCCTCTTCTTCTTCCTCTTCCCTCTCACCGCTTCAAATCCAAACCCTAACCCTAACCTTAACCCTAACCCATCATCAAAGTCGCCACCACTAACCGCCACCAACTACAGCTTTTTTGTCGGGCTCCTCCCTACCAACGTCCTCTGCTACAGCATCAATACCACTATCACGCCCTAGATTTATGAGGTCTAGCCCACGTGAGTAAACCACCCAACGATAGATGATCACTAATAACACTCATTCAAATGTATACAATGCAAGCACACAGTACATTTGTTATTCCAATTTTATACATTCTTAGATACAACATCTAAGTCAAACGGATGTTTTATAACAAAAACATACAAAGATGTTATAAATCAAATTAAAATGTCCAAAGGCTTACATCAAATACAAAGGTTGTCACCCTTACAAGAATGGCACACGGCCAACAAATACATAAATGGCCCTTGGCCGACAAATAAAGGAACCACTGTACACGGTTCTAAACACAACTTCAATATCTCAGTCCACATCCGCATAAGCATACCTGAAAAGCATTTTCAGTTACGTAGGGTAAGCATAAAATCCAGTAAGAAATATTTCAAAAGCTAAATATGCTCTACCGGTGCAAATGATCAATAATGCAATACATACATATATAATATGCCAAAATGCATTCTTAAATCCACTTGCTTTCTCAATAAAAACCCTTTCTGCCCAGTCTTCAAAACCTTTCGTTTATTCAAAATATTTTCCGAATTCAATACATTAGTTTGATGTAAAATTCATTTCCACAAGTCAATCCAAGTATCTCAATACCAACAAGTAATTCCATTGCCAATTCCAATACGAATGCATTGTTAACCAACAACAATTACATTGCTAAGACCATTTTAAAATCATTTCTTTCCAAAACCAAAATGATAATAAATAAAATGGGTAAACCTCCAAAACCAATGCAACCTTTCACGGAAATTTCGTTCACAAGAAACTGTTAAACGGGACCCATGTAAATGTAGGCTATACAAGTACTACCATTGCTATTTTACGGAAATTTCGTCCGCGGGATTGGCACCCATGTATACGCGCGGTTTTTGGGACTTTCACCCTGGACACACAAGCTAACTTGTTTGATAATCATTTCTCAGATTTACCATTTTATTTACCCTTTTCAAATAGCACAATACACGTGATCCAAAATATGATTTTCAAAATGAAACAAATGCTCTTAAAACATAACACAAGAATTTCTAAAATCTCTTTCCAAAATATATAGGTTCAATTTCCAAAATCTGTTACATGCTCCATGATATGCATGATTTATAAACAGTCCTGTTTGCCTAGTTCACATGCAATTTCTACAACAATCCTAGCTAGCCTCCACTGATAGCCCAAAACAAATATCTCTAAATGGATAAATAAATTCCATTAGAGATACACTTTTCCAAAATCTGAAATAGAAGTAATAATACATATCCAACTTCACCATCATCATTTCAATTTCACATTTCTCACCCTTTATTCCATTTCCTCTTTACAATCTCAACTATTACATTTTAGGGCAAAACCCCCTAGAAATAGCTCATTTCAACATCTATCAACTCCAATTTCATAATCACAACCTTTTTTTAAGAAAACATTTGGAAACCCCTCTTTTATATTTTGATTTAATAATGCAACAATTTTCCAAAAAGATCAACATTTTAGGATTTCTTCAAAATCAGGGCTTTTTACTTTTAAAAACTCATATACATTTTTGTAAGTGAAAAATAAACTTTTTTTAGCTAAACCATAGCTCAACAATTCCATTTGGAACAAACCTTCACTTACAATACAAAATTTCAAAAATCAATCCAAGAACAATGGAATCTATATATTTAAAATACATCACAAATATACTACCGAACTCATATTGAGTTTAAGATATAGATCCAACCTCTATGAAGCAAGAAGGAAACAAGTCAGAAAAATCACCGGCGACTAAACGATAATCCATTGAGATTAAATGAAAGCCCTCGTCGTGCTCTACGTTTTGGTATATGAAACTAGAGGTCAAAGATGTATAGAAATAGATGAAATCAAGCCTAAAAAGCTTGAGAAATAAAAAATAACGGAATGAGAGAGAAAGAGGAGTGAAAAATAAAGAGATTTTACCCAAAAAGTGACTTTTAAAGACCTGATTCTGTGCAGTACGCTCGAGCATTGAAAGTTGCGCTCGAGCGCACTATGCTTACAACATAGATTTACAAATTTCAAATAAGTATATCTCTCTAGTTCGGACTCCATTTAGGGTCGTACTTGTGTCCAAATTGAAACCCCGGAAGTAAGCTTTCTAATAGTTCTAGCCTCACACCAAGATTCAAAGTGTGGAGAGAGAAAATGATAAAAGAGTGAAGACTATTCAATAACAATTATTCGAATTTGGAATTTTTTGATTCAATCTCACCCAACCACTATGGTAACACCTTACCTAAGGCTCAAATATCGACTAAGAAGATTCCCAATCAAGATAATCAAAGAGTCAAATATAATTCCATTATAACAGGAAGTACAGAGTGCTACAGCCACTTCTGGCGACTTCGTCATCCATCTCGTCGTCCATGGTCCATGTCTCCTTCTACCGAATCTATAAGATCAGCTGTTTCTTTGATTCATTCTACACATTGATCGATCCGTATATTTCTCTCTATATATACACATTGTAGTCTTTACTGTATCTTTTGCTTTTGTTCCTTGACTTGTAACTTGAGTTCGTTAAATTCTCAATTTGTAACTTGATCTACTAAACCTTTCAATGTAATGGCAAATTATGCCCTTTTGTCACTCTGTTTGTTTATTGAGAAACCCAACTCTATAGATAACTAGGCGATCTACTTTAATTTTGTTACAATCATTTTCTTTTGCTCGTTAACCTATTGTTTGGTTGTTGAGAAATAAGAGAAAAAGAAAGCCGTCATGGGTATTTATGTTGCCTTGCTTGAGTCAAAACACAATTTTCTTTAGTTGTGTCAAAACATAATTGTCTCTGGTTTGGTCAAATTAGAGAAATTTCAAAATACAATTTTTTTTTTAATACACAAAGAATTTTGTCTGAAATTTTTTTGGATCTAAATTTTTTTGGAAAAATG